TAAAAAGACCTTCCAGTCAAAACACTGATGACTCTTTAAACTATGGTCCTCAGGCTTCCTCTAGTGGTAGAAAATGTGAATTTTGACTTCAAAAGGGAGTCTGTTTCAATCGGTGGAACCGGAATATAAAGTCTGACCAGTGACGTAAAGCACTCACTATGCAACACATTTTGATATCAACGTTTTGGTGTCACTTTTGTTTATAACCATTGAATTTTAACGCAAAAGGTCATGGTCAATATTAGCAAATATATCAACGACGGTCGGGGTTTAATCAATGAACAAACTGCAGACCTAACAAGAAGGAAAGAAAAGGGGGAAAAGGGAAGGAAAGATAACACAAGGAACAGACAAATTACTAAACTAAGTTGGAATAGTGGAAGAGCAGGTGGACAGTAAAACAGATACTAATAAATAGACATAGGAGAAATGAAAATGGGAGGAAGAAACATGATAATGGCAAAAGGAGGAAGAAGCAAATGAACAACCAAGATTAGAAATAAGAAATAATTGGAGTTAGCTTAAAGAATTAAGGAAATAAGGACAAAATAAAGAAATAAGGACAAAGGGAGAAAGAAAAGTATAAAAATAAATAGAAGAAAGAAGAAACAAACTAGGTTTGCAAGAAATTGGGACTGGGCAATAAATCGCTGTATTAGAATAATAATTTATATTGACGCAAATCAATATAAAACGTGTCATTCAGAACCACTTGGTATTCTGGGGGATGTAAGAGGAGGAAATCATTAGCCTGAATGAGCACCGCTGGTAGCAGAGCTCGCTTCTTTTTAAACAGAATTTTTTTATGTAGGGTTATAATTTACACGTGTTGTCTTTTTTTTCTCCCCATGGTCTTTTATTTTCAAAAATGTAAAAAATGTTAATCAATAAATATCAATATTGACTAATGTGAAAGTTTTATATCATGCTAGTTTTCAGCCAAATCCCAAGGCCCTAGAATAAATCAAGGTAAATAAAAGTAGAAAGAATAGATGGAAAGCAAATGAAAGAAAATAGATGGATTTTAGATGGGGAAATGAATAAACTCCGTATAGAATCTCAGTCTTCAAAAAGGCACATTTCTAGGATGACTTAACAACCTAGAGTAAATTACAGCAGACTAGAAAAAATGTGCCTGTGGCACTTTAAGAACCCCCTTCAATATCCCCATTAATCCAGCTGGCAATTGGATATGGTTGATGTGGGACTTAAAAGCCAGTGAAACAAAGAGCATCAGGGATGGGGTTGTTCTCTCTGCTCACATTCATCCCATTCTAAACAGGTTTCCAATGAACACTCTGCTGAACAGCAGTGTGTGTTCATTATGTTCCATTCCTTGTTGACTGTTCCAACACTATAATTATAGTACAATTATCCACCGAAGTGGCATATTTGAGGTTAACTAAAGGGTCAATATATTAACATATACGTCTTGTTATAAATAAAACAAAGGCTTTGTCTGACTTTACCTCAGACAAAGAAAGAGACATCTGCCAAAGGGAAGATAATGATGTACAAATGTTGATAGTAAGTGTACAAGTGAGGCTAGAGATTTGAAACGTATTCAGATAAAACCCAGAGGACAGAATAAAAAAATAAATAAAATTCATACAAATCACCTGAGATGTCTAAAAAAACCAACTCTCTAAAGTCAGAAAAATAGTAAAGAATTGCATCCTCAGATAGATAATCTGAGTCTACTAGTACAGTGTTTTATGCACTAAGAGAAAGCGAAATTCAAATCAAGTAAAAAACAAAAAAAAAGAGTTAACAAAAAACTGCTATACTACTATAACACATGCAGAAGGTATAACATTAACACCTGCAAGGCGAGCTGGACGACACCCCCAGCACCTGTAACACAATATGCTTTCTTTTTTTGTATTTATATTAGTTGATTTAATATAATTTAGATATATGAATAAACAAGATAAAAGCCACATGAACTGTCAAAAACGTAAAATCTCTAATATCAGCAAGCCGACATAAAAACTCTACTTTTTAAAGTTTGCATAACATGTTGATTATTAATAAACTGGTCATTGTTTTCATACCTGTAGTAGTTGAAAATTGTTCTTTGTTTCAGAGTAAAGTCACTTGTTCAAGCCTTTTGTAACTTCCCACACTACTAAATAAGTAAGCAAAGTATTTCTGATTCGTGCTGATATATCAGGTCAATATCGACAATACTCAAAGCTGCAATATAGGCATTATATATATATATATATATATATATATATAATATTTATTGATCTCACAGTGGAGAAATTTAATTATATGGTTTTAAAAGTAGCTGAATAAAAAAAAAGAAAGAAAACTACAAATTGGTTCCTTGATGTATTTTAGGTCAAAAAAATTCCTGTCAAACTTTGGTGGCTATAAGCCCATCAGAACATTGGCACGATGCATAGAACAAATTAATATGTGGATGCACCATAAGTTTCTCCAACTGAATAAAATCAAAACTGATCTAGAGTTAGCTTACAGCTTTAGTTAGTACAGCAAGAAACTACTGCTTATGGCCTAAATCTTGGTGTCATGATGGACTCGGACCTAAAGATTGAGAGGCACATAAAAGCCTTTAATCACCTGAAGAATGTTTCCAGGTTTAAGGACTAATGTCCAAACAGAATCTAGAAAAACTCATTCATGCGTTTATCTTTAGTAGAAGTGATCACTGCAACAGTATCTTCAAAGGTTTGCCGAAAAAGTTCATCAGACAGCTGCAGCTGATCTAAAACTCTGGTGCCCGTGTTCTCACTAGAACTAAGAAAGTTGAGCACATCAGTCTGGTTTTGAAGTCCTTCCACTGACTCCCTGTATCTCAGATAACGGACGATAAAATCCTTATGTTAGTCTATAAATCACTGAATAGATCAGTACCTCAATACATATTTGTTGTCAGTGTATGGACCTCTCAGGTCTTCTAGTTCAGGTCTATGCTGTCCATCCAGAACTAGTACCAAACATGGAGAAGCAAAATTTCTTTTAAGCCTGAGTTCTTTTAAGCCAAAGTTAAAAACACATTTGTTTACAAGTGCATTTGACTGTTTACTGAGGTATTCCAACTGTTTCGTTTCCTCTATTACCTGCTTTTATCACGTTTTTACATTTACTTGCTGTCATTTTCTCTCCTTTACCATTTAAATTCTGTAAAACATTTGAATTGTCTTTGTACTGAATTGTGCTACACAACTTGCCTTTTCCACAGCATACACATATGTGCATATATATATACATATACACACACACATATATATACACAGCTATAAAATATATACACACACATACACACTATAAAACATATACACACACATATATATCTATATCTATATATATACACACACACACACACTTGTTTGCAAGTATTGAGAATTACATTTCAAATCATGATTACTAAAGCATATTAAGAACTTTTTTCCCTCAAATTTTTTAAATTGACATCAGCTGAAGCTCCTGGCATGTCACATACATACAGTAAACAGACTGTCAAGTAGGCTAACGCTAGCATGAGTTAGCTTCTTGTAGCTATAACAACTCCCCGCACCTTGCTGTATCTCCTGCGTATGTGGAGTGTTGACCTACTGATGACCAGCTTAAACAGCCGAGTCACCGCCATCCCGTTTGCGCCTATCAAAGGGTTACTGTATAGACATGTTTCGTTTCTTTCAACCTATGCAAGCGGCCATGATAGGAAACACGAAATTAGCAGAACCGCGGTGACGTCCGTGTCTGGAGTTGTGACGCAGGTTCGGAATCAACGTGCGCGCTCCCTGTAGCGCGCGCTCCCTGACAGAAATGTTCTGCAAAGGCAGACCGATGAAGTGCATAGTACTATATAGCTGTGAACACCAATAACTAAAAGCTCAAATATCACATGTTCGTAATTAATTTTGTTCCGTTACTTGATACACGTCTTTGCGCATGCGCCAAACTGCCGCATATAGGCTGATAGCAATGCTGATAGGGGGGTTTATGTGCCGTCCTCTTCATTTAACAATTAAATCTTCTGGAGTTTTCTAACATCGACGCCCCCCAAAAAAGCCACCTTTCTCATCTACATCTACAATGTTGATAAACGTTTTTCTTAATATGAGAGCGCCAATCACCCATGTGCGGTCTTTTTAAAATACACAAAAATAAAATGGCGTACATTATTAAGAAAAAAAAAATATTTATATGATACAAGTCTGTGTTCACCATTACTATGAAAGCAATCCCAATGAAGCTCTACCGATTATTTTGTGTGTTTAACAGTTTTAAGTTTTTGGCTTTAAGATGAAGTACCGCCAGTCTGCCACATGGGGGTGCTAGTGCATTATAAGGGTGTAAAGTGCAACCAAATGAGGACATCAAAAACTTGGAATATATCCTATTTTTTAGGTTCCTTAAAACGCTTAATCATTAATATACTCACTGATATTTACTAGTTTAACTCAAAACGGGTACTATGTGTTCAGCATCTTTATGAGCTTCAGCTGAGCCGTTATGAAACGCATCTGTATAAAAAAAAAAAAAAAAGCTAAAATTTGAGTCTCGAAGGAAAAAAAAAATGCATAAAAAGTTAGGAGGGCTAGAACATAAAATTTAAACGCACATCAATGCCATGGCCAAAGTTGGTTGCAAAACAACCCAAACAAAGAGTTCCCTACCGCTTTATATCAAACTTATTTTTTTTTTTTTTTTAAGTAAGTGCAAATCCAACAGTCACCAAACATTGCAACAGAAAACATCAAGTTAAAGAAGGGTCAAGCTTTGGTGCAGCTGAAGCTCAAATAGTTCTGGCTAAAATGTGGATTCAAATTCATTTATAAAACCATTGCAAATCCACTCAAAAGAGATCTTTTTAAAAGACACTAATGAATTAGGATATGGTTAAAAGTAAAAAAATATAATAATAATAATATCTATTTTGCTTAAGTTAATCTTGTATTGAGGGCAACAGAGCTGCTGCAGAATGTGTGCATGTTCACCACAACAGAAAGGACTGGACACTCAAAGACCAGTAATATAAGCATCATTGATGAGAACAGCAGTTAAATTTGTCAAATATATATACAGACCATCAGCTTCAGTACATCGTCAGTCATTTATCAAACAAACTTTTTTTAAATAAAAAAAAATCTTGATGTGAAAAGAAGGAAAAAACAAACGTTTACAAAGATTAAAGAAAGAAGTTGAACATGTTTGCTTGCAGATACTTCAAAACTAACCCTGCAGACCTTTAATGTAGTGTAACCGTTCTAAGGTAAATTAGCTGGGTTAACTGCAGAAGTGACTGTACAGCAATCCTAGCAGTGGAGTGAAACAGAAATTGTGAACACTGTGGTAACACTTTGATTACATTTTAAAACTTGCCTATCATCAATTTCATGCAGAATGTGAAGCAATTGTGAGCAATCAGTATTTAATCTTGATCTGCAGACAGATAAAAAGATCTGATAAGAGGGCTTAGAGCACACAAATCTGGGCCTCTCATAAGGGGGCTACGGACGATTAAATCTTTGAAACAACTCCTGAAGAACCGGAAGAAATACTACTTTGTTTGCATTCTGATGAACAAGAGGTGCAGAGAGTGCTTTAAGAAATAACAGGGGCTGGAAGCAGAAAAATTGAGCAACAGAAAGAAAAAAAGATTTATATATATAAATATATTCATAAATACTGGGAGAAAAACAAATTAGTGAAACCTGTGTATATGCAATGAAAAATACAGCAAAAGTCTTCCATTAAATTCAGCTGTCGCTGCTGTAGCATAACCTTATACTGACACATTAAGAGTAACCAAACCTTTATTTCAAGTACACTTATTTTGAATAAAGGTCCATTTAAATAAGTTTTTTTCCCTCTTCTAAACATAATCACTTTGCCTTGTCTGTTGGTGCTCCTAATTAGTTATAAAGTTATAAGACCTTATAACTGAATGCAACTCAAGTTAATCGGAGGTCATTTTGAATCATAACTTCCTGTTGCCTTGGGGTATAAATGAGACCCAGATGTTTTAGCAACTGGACTTTGACCCATAGTTAACTTACCCAGGAGCCAAATAGTCTTAAAAGGAAATAAAATAAAAATAAAAAACATTAGGGGTAACCTGTTTTCCATAAACACCATTAAAGATCATCTATATTCTACTGGGTTATTAAGGAGTGCTGTAAAAGAAAAGCAAATTTCAATCCTTCCAAAACAAACAAATGGACATTGCTCAACTCTACAAAGACTTTAACAGAAGTCATTTGCTTTTTTCAGACTTTGAATTGGTGTAAAGATGAACGGTTGAGAGCTCCTTCATCGTAAGCTTCACAGATGTGAAAAGTTAACACTATTAGAGAAAGAAAGAGGATTAAAGTATTAACAGAACTGGTTTAAGAATGCGTGCCACTAGTTCTGTTTCAATCATTTGAATACTAAAATGAAATGTCTAATTGGTAAATTGACAGTATAGGATTATGCTACTGCACTAAAAGACAGAATCATTTTAGAAATGTGTGAATATCTGCCACTGGGCTACCATAACATTACTCCTATCTAAATGTAGCCCGATAACATGATTTAATTCAAGCGATAAATGACTTATTACTCAAATTAAACTCTTGATTTTATTCAAATTAAAACACTGTGAACCGTAGCAATAGTGGTAGAGTAGGCCAACCTAATGCTTCTTTCCCTTTCTGCTGCTCAGTGTATTAATGAACCAAGTTTTTAAAAAAAGGACATAGGTGGACTTTGAGGTCCATGACAAGAGATCATAATTATCCCAACACTTGTCTTAAGGGTTTTAAAAGGGATAGAAAGTAAATTATGCAAATCACTGCAGGAAAAAAAGTTCAGTGTTAAGTTTCTCCAAATACCTCAACCTCATTGAAAGTGAGATATATATAATGATCATTTGACTTTTTTTTTCTTTTTAGAAAAAAAGCTTGAAGAAAAAAACTGTATATCAACTCAGTCACTCTTTATATTTACAAGGTCAGAAATATACAGAGGGAGCAATAGATGGATGCAAAAAGGTTTAGCAAGAGAAGAATTTGTACAGCAGGTATTCCAGGTATCAGAACAAGCGTTAAATTCACCTGTGGGGGAAAAAAAAAAATTACTTCAAAGAAGAAAATAGCAGGTTTTAGATTTTTAGATTCACAGCATCTAGCTCTAGCCACTGTTATTGGCATCGCTGCTTAAGATGTGTACAAAAGCCTTAAAATAAAGTCGCTAAAAAGACTCATTCCCCAACTGGTGCAGTTTAAACAGAGAGTTTTTGGACTATTTGCTTTTTTTTTTTTACTGGGCATGCTGACAAGATTAGCTTGGTTCCACCTCACCATCCTGGCTTTAAGGTTTGAGCGAGTTTCTAGGAGCCTGGACTGAGATACCATGTCATTTTATGTTCCTCATTTTGATTGGCTGAGTGAAAAATATTTCAAATAAAAATTGTAAACCAAACACAGTGGCACTGGTTATTTTTCTAAAATTTTTGAATAAAAATACATAAGAATTCAAGCCAAGACTAGGATTTTCTCAAACTTTCAGTGAAAATATGACTCCTAACATTAGAGTAATTGCAGACTCCGAAACAACTTCATCTTTGCCGAATGTGGAGGACGATGTACGCCCTTGCATTAAAAAGAGATTACCTTGAAAATGGTTTGATTTAATTTGCTAAGGCCAACATTTAGACAAAATTTAGGGAAATTACAGTTTATTAATTTAAGTTTTTCCTTTCAGATAAAGCCAGACAAAAGGGTATCAATTTAGCTGAGCATGAAGAGTTCAAAGAGGCAAACAGCAAACCTGCTCAAGTTTAAATTGACTAAATAGTTTATTTTCTTCTATATTCAAACTAACGGAAATAGTTTCTTCAGGGAGAACTGTAATCCAGTGTTATCCTCATCTTTATGCAAAGCTTCAAACCAGGTTGGGTTGTAGGAGAGGTAATCTTCTTGTGTAAGGCTGAGCAAGAGAGGAAATGCCTATACTTATTAAAAATACGAAGCTATTGATTTAGGGGACCTTTTGCTCTCCCATGAGAATCAATTCTTTCTTTGGTCATCTGAGGGGAAATAACCCAGAATCACAGAGATAGAAAACTGTAACTAAACATCTGCTTGAACTATGTGCTTTATTCTTGCGGTTATTTCATTCACGGTGTAGTTAAAAGTTAAAGCGGAATAATGGAAGCTAGCAGGTTATACAAGACTGCACTATGCAACTGATGACCTGTGAGTAGAGTGTAAAATGAGCAGCCACTACAGCAGAAGAATCAAGACTTTTTCAGCTATTTACACACAACCTAAGGTAGGTTTCCTTCAACTTAAGTAACAGAGTAAAGATATCTGGGCTCATACCAGCAGGGCTAACACACACTGCACTGTTAGATGTGTGGCTTGCACTTCTCATTCAGCTTGTCATAGTCAGCCACTTCAGTAGCGTGGGGGTAGGTAAGGCCTCTTCTGAGCATGGAAGGGACCGCCGGGGAACGGGGGGCCGGATCGCTTCCCTCCATGAAACCCACCTCTGGGATGGTCTTGAGACAGGCTTCGGCCTCGCAGCGGGGGTCTCTGCTGCATGGGAGTGGGGAGGATCGGGGGTCGGGAAGCGGGTAGGTTGAGGAGGGGGACTGGTTTGGAGTTTGGGTTGTGGGACTGAGCTGGCGGACTGGGTGGGGCTTTAGGGGCGGCGTGGTCTGCTGCGGGGGAATTGGGCGTGGAGGGAGAGGGGGTGGAGGATGTGGGTGAGGGGAGAGGTAAAATCAAAGGCTCCTTCACTCTGCCGAGTAGAGGTGGAGGAATGCCAGGCGTACCTGGGCGGTGGAGAGGGGGTGTATGGCGAGGGATTAAAGGCTCTTTGACTGTGCCGGGACGGGGTAGCTTAGGGTGCTCGCCTAGCAGCGATGACATGAGTGGTGGTGGGGTCATCTTCTGTCCTCTGTGCCCCATCCTGCCACGCTCTGCACCCTCAGGTCTAAAGGATGGTGGAACAGACATTGGGAGATCCACTGGGACCATCATTCCCCCCACCATGACACTGTGGGGCAGAGCAGGGTGAGGAGAAGGTGGGGGCGCAGACAATGGAAGATCCACAGGGACCAACATTCCCCCCACCATCACGCTGTGGGGCAGAGCAGGGTGAGGAGGTGGTGGTGGCGGGGGCAGTCGAGGAAGCGGGGGAACAGCAGTAAAAGAGGGAGATGAAGGAGGAAGATGAGGCTGGAGGAGTGATGGAGGAGGAGTCTGCATGTTTTCAGTGTGGTACGGCATTGGGAATGGAGTCTGAGGTGGTGGAGGAGGAGGGGGAGGAGGGGGTGGAGGAAGCATTGAGGGGTTTAGGTCTTCACTACCTCCCATGTTAATAGGAGGGGGTATAACGTGTGGTGAAGGAGGCTGACCATCCAAGTATTCTTCCTCTTTGTACCACATCGAAGCACCTGGCCGATTCCCAGCTCCTCCCCCTCGCCGAGAGCCTCGGCCAATGACACGGATGCTCTCAACTGTCTTGATTCGTTCTCCAGCAGGTGCACGGTTTGAGTAGCCCAGAGTCTGGATTGGCGCCCCTTCAGTGTGGGGTGACACCAATGTCTCAATGCGGTGGTACTGACCTTCCTTTGCATCTCCTGCTGATAACTCTTTACCATTGTCCTTTTCTTTTTTTCCATCATCGGATCCTGTGCTCGCCTTCCGAGAGCTGGCAGAGACTCTCCGCTCTCCCATGGCTCTACTGTTCTTACCCTTCAAGTCACTGCCAGGGGAAGAGGACTTCTGCCTCCTTATCAATTCGTCTTCATTTAACTTACTGCTGCTCCTTTTTCCTGCACCAAATCTAGAAGAGGAGCCAAGAAAGTCTCCATTGTTGCTGCTTCCAGAAGAGGTGACTGCAGCATCCCAAGGATCATTGCGGTAGGCTGTTGGTGAGAGGTTGTGGCTTCCGGATGAACCCAAAGAGTCTGGCATGCCGCTGGGAGTGTCCATGATCTCATCCTGCGTCGGGGTCCCAGCCGTCTCGTCCCTCACCGGGGTGCCATCAACCCCATCAGGACTAGCATCACCCAGGGCCAGGCTGAAACCTGGATTACCCTGCAAGAAACTGTTGATCTTGGACTCTAAGCTGGGAGGAGAGACAGAGGGAGCTGAAGAACGAGGAGGTGGTGGAGGAGGGGAGAGCCGCTTATCCTTCTCCCAGTCTCTGGCCTTAACTGGCTCCTCTTGTTTTAGACTATATCGGAGAGGGGATTTAATCTTTGGGGTGGTTGGGGTTACTGGGGGTTTGACACTTGTTGATTCTGGGGAGGTTCTGTTGGAGTTAGTGGCAGAAGTCTGGGTCACACTTTGAAGTAGAGATGATAAACCTAGGTGAAATGATAAAAAATTAAAAACAGTGAATATCTTTACAAACTGTATATACATAAATAATACAATTTAATAAAAAGATGCATCCAACCTGATGTGTTAGTTTTAGACAAAGCGTTTAGTATCCCTTCAGGGGTTATGTCAACTCGTGACAGGATGCTAGCCAGAGCAGGACTCGGAGGGGTCGCCTTGGAGACAGTGGCTTGGCCTGTAGGGGTGGTGGGCGTTCCAGGAGATGGTCGAGGAGCCGGAGTAGGTGCTGCAAGAACACATGATCAGAGCCAATTTATTGAATAAGTAACTTAAAAATAGATCAGTTGCATTTCCCGCACATGCCTAGGCCTGTCGCGATAATCAATAAATCGCACGATAAATAAAAATTATCCACCTCATTTAATTTATCGGCTATATCGTCTCTGCCTGTGTTTTTCTCCTATTGATGAGGCTGGATGAAAAGGCTTAACTCCGGTGCTATCTACTTCCTTATTTTTGAGGAGGGAGGAGGAGTGGACTATCGCATCAGGTAGTCAGCGCGCATCATTTTGTATTTCTGCAGCTTTAGAGCCCCGTGAGGAGTTAGCGAGGTAAAAAAAAAAAAAAACACATCTATTTTGGGGGGTAAAAAGCTCGAAATGGAACTGGTTTGAAAGCCGAGCGAAACAGCCGCAGTGTGGGAGTATTTCGGATTCAAACCAAATGACCAAGGTGAACCGCTGAACCTATGCGAGCCAGTATGTCGCATTTGTCATAAAACAGTAGCAAATAAGAGCAGCAATACAACCAACCTACACATGCACCTTAAGCACAACCGCCCAGCAAAGTTTCTCCAGCTGGAAGCAAAAAGTACAAGTGGTGGCCCGTCTGTGCCTTCAAGTTTGCGACAGTCCACCATCACTGAAGCAATTAATCGACAGGCAGCATACAAAAAGGACGGCGCAAAGTGGCGCGCGCTCACAGACAGCGTAGTTCATTTAATTGCTAAAGAGATGCTTCCATTTAATATTGTTGAAAAGCCGGCATTTCGAAAAATGTTCCAGACATTTGATAGACAGTATGAATTCCGCAGAAAACATACATATCACCAACGTGATATTTTGTATATACGTTTTTATTTTCACTGTGGTTTTATCTTGTGTTTAGTTTTTATTCAACTGTATTTTAAGTTAACAGAGACTGAGAGTCCATTTAATTTTTATTTCTCGTTTTATTTTGTTAACCAGTTCCAGTGTTAAGTGTTCTGTTGAAAATAAAGTGTGTTTATCTTTGGCAGGAAAATGCATGCATTATTACGTCATTTCCATTAAATCAGTGTAACAAGGTCTTCAAACAATATTATCGTTTATCGCACGATAAATTAATCTTTTTGCAAAATTTGTTATCGTGACAGGCCTACACAAGCCTTTATCTCTGAGAGAGGAACCAGAGCATTTATCGTGCATTTATCAACATCGGGGTAAAAGTCTCCAATTTATCGTGATATTGATTTACCGTATTTTCACGACTATAAGGCGCACTTAAACGTCTTTTTTTCCCTCAAAATGTGCGGTGCGCCCTATGGTGCGGTGCGCCTTATGTGTGTTGTAACTGCGACTTTTGAGACCACCTCAATGAGGAGATGATGAAAGAGTGGCTGAATGTAAGGAGACCAGGTGTTTTTTTTCCACCCCTCACCATGCTGTTAATATGTAACTCCATGCGTGCCCATCTCACAGCTGATGTGAAAAACATGGGGAAACAAATTAACGCTGTGCTCGCTGTTCAACCGCTCGACATCGGTGTGAACCGGACCCAGCAGGTGCAGCAGAAGCAGCGAGTTTACATGCAAAGTCAATGGTTGACGCGCGTATAGGTGCAGCAAAAGGTCCTGCAGCGCGTTTTGAGCCGCAGGTGCAGCACGTCGGGAGCGTTTAAGCATCTGACGCACCACCAACGCGCTGCTGCTGCTCGAGATGGAAAAATTGAACTTTTGCTGCTGGACGCGCCGCATCAACCAATCAGAGAAGCTGATCTGGGAGCTGACAGCGAGACAGACACAGCGCTCTGATGACATATGATATTAACGCAAATGGAAAAGGCTGGATGGATGCGTGGCTGAGGCAGGTGTATGTGAGAAGACTAGGTGGTTTTTTCCACGCATCACCATCGCTGCGTGCCCATCTCACAGCCGATGTGAAAAAAAGGTGAATCAAATGAACGCTGTGCTCGCCGTTATCCCGGGGGTCTGACAAAGGAGCTTCAACCGCTCGACATCGGTGTGAACCGGCCGTTCGAAGTAAGGCTGCGAGCGGCGTGGGAGCGATGGATGACCGACGGAGACGACAGTTTCAGGATAAGTGGAAGGCAGCGCCGGGCAAGTTACGCCACCGTTTGAGGATGGATTGTAGATGGACTAACGTGTCTGCTGGCTCTGTTGTTCAAGCTTTCGCAAAAGCCGGCATTATTTCTGAGGAGCTGCGCTGCACGGAAAGTGACTGACAGCGAAGAAGGGGAAACTGGCATGTCTGATTTAGCGCAGCTGTTTTATTCAGAAACAGAGGATGATGACTTTGATGGGTTTGATTAATACTTTGTAATAAATACATGAATAAAGCACAATCATACTCAGTTTTGCTCCCGCTCTATTTTTCTACCTGAAAACTTAATTCAACAACAGCCTCTGGGCGGGTCTCCTCCTCTTCACCGCGGCGGCTGGCAGGTGTTTTTTCATCTAAATAATCTAAATCTTGCAGCTATATTTGCTGTGATCAGTGGGAATAAAGTAGTTTTAATATGTTTTTAAGTGAGAAAGTCCACCTGAAAACTTCATAATTGCAGTCAGTTCATCCAGATTATCTATTTCTGTCGGAGGCGCTCAGACCCCCACATACCAGCGGTGCACAGACAGGAGAAATCCTTTCATCAGCAGCCTCTAGGCCGGGTCGCCTGGGGTTCACCGCGGTGGCTGGCAGGTGTTTTTCATCTAAATAATTTTAGCTGCAGGCACCAGGATACCGGTAATAAAAGCGAACATATTCCGTCAGCAGGTTTCAGGATTTTAAGTTAATTTAGGAGTGACCACAGCGCTGTGTCATCTGCGATGTCTCTGTCTCACGGCCAGCTGCCAGGTTTGATTAATACTTTGTAATAAATAGATGAATAAAGCACAGTCATACTCAGTTTTGCCCCCGCTGTATTTTTAAATACGCAGTAGAGGTATTTAAAGGTAGTAGAGGACATGTACCTGTATATAAAAAACGCGCCCTATAGTCCGGTGCGCCTTATGTGTGTGTTAAATACAGAAATGGGACACATAACTGAGAGTGCGCCTTTTAGTCCGGTGCGCCTTATGGTCGTGAAAATACGGTAAGGTCATAATCGCCCAGCCCTACATGGAAGGCTACTAGAGGTCATTCTTCATCCCACCCAGCCATGTTCATTTAAGAAAATAATGTTTATAGCCTATTAATAAATAAATCATCAGTTGATCTTTACATTAGAAATGTTGGAAATGTGCTTAAGAGAAAAAAAATGGGAATAATCTTGAAATTAAAGACAGTCTAGACTGATATAATTAGAAACAGTCTAGATTGATAAGTAAACCACAATCTATCTATTCTAGGTATAATTTTAATAAATAACGAGTCAAACAATCATGGTAATATGATTTCTAGCTTCTAACAGCAGAGCAGACAAAGTTCCCAATACTTACAGCAGCACAGTATAGTTGTCTTAACTCTATCACTTTTTCTTTTATTTCTATGCACTTTGTAAAGGTCCACATTTTTGTGACTTTTGCTATAATCTTTTGCTGCTGTAACACTACAATTACCCCACTGTGGGACAAAAAAGGGATTTTCTATTCTACTGTATTTACATCAACATTATCAAAAAGTGAATATTGTTTTTGAAATACCAATTCAAAGATATATTTAAGACGAAAAACCCACAAAAATAGAGCACGTTTTATTTTTTCTTTCTAAGTGTTAATCACAAAGCTTCAGAGAAAAGTTGCTTATCTCCCGTTTTAAACCACACTGTTCTATTTTCATGTGTCAAGTCTGAAACTTGGCAATTAAAGTTTTATTCCTTAAAGCAGTTCACTAAACTGTTGTTGCAGTCTTTTCTCTGAAGACTGAGAAGTAGCATTTATGCATCTTAAACTTGGCTTACCTGAGAGCAGCCTGCCTCACTTTGCGTGTCTTTAGAGACTGATTTGTCGGGAGATTAATTTCAACATAAAAGCTGATATTTAAATGTATGCTGCAAATCAATATTTCTAAAACCAGATTCTAAAAATTTAGAATTTCAAGCATCAGAGCAAGTGACTTCAAAAAGCTCAAAATAAAGAAGGTCAGCACTGTTCTTGGAACTCCATGAGACTATTTCACCATTCTTCATAAAATTATAAACAGCCCCACAGCATGATGCTACTTCCACCATGCTTCATTGTAGGGATGGCATTATACCTGGTAATGTCTCATGCCTGGTTTCCTCCAAACATGAAGCCTAGCCTTCACAGTTTATACTCTGTCTTAATAGACCATCGAATTTGGTTTGTCGAGGTCTGAGTCCTTCCGCAGTATTCTGACCAACTCCAGATGGGTTGCCATTAGACTTTATTGATAAGGAGCAGCTTTTGTCCAGCCATCCCGACAAAAGCTTTCCTTACTAAGGCTCTTCTTACCCTATTGCTTAATTTAGATGGTTGGTGAATAATGGAGACGATTGTGCTTATCAGGACCTTAAAGCAGCAGAAATGTTTCTCTATCCTTCCCTATATTTGTTGATCAAGGCTATCCGGTCTCTAAGGTCTAAAGACGATTCCTTTGACGTCATTTTAAGTGGCATCTTGCATAAAAAAATGGTGTGCGTCTTTCGCAATCATCTTTAAACAAGTGAATTTACAGAATATTGGTCTCAATATGAGCTGTAGAAACATGGATGATCAGCAGGAACAGTAGGCTTGTACCTCAGCTCAATTTAATGGTTCATAAAATAGGCTGTGAATACTTACCTAAATGTAACTTCAGAGTTTTCTATTTTTATAAAAACAAGAAACATCTAAAAAAAACTGTTATTTGATACTGTTTGGAATAAGGCTGTAACAAATGTGTAGAGTAGAGCTGTGAATACTTTTTGGATGTTAGTAGGTTCAATGTCTTTGCCATAATGTTTACAGTAGCATAAAGTTTCTTTGTGCCATCAAACTCTCCACTAGAAAGTAAATTAACCTTAAAATATATGAAAAGTATCTCATTGTGCAGTTATTATTTTTCATCATAAAACCAACGATGACCCCTCCTAAACCCACCTGTGTTCTTCATGGCAGATGTAAGCGAGCTGAGGATGGAGCTGATCTTCCCCAGGTCCACTTTGGCCAGATTCACTCCCAGAGGGGTGGTGGGGGCAGCTGTTGCTTTTGCCGGGGCAGGAGTCACTGTGGTTGCCGTGGTGACAGCAGAAGGGCTGGGCTTGGATGGTTTTGTAAGCGCGTTTTGAGGTTTTGATGCTGCATCGGACTTTGTCTTGGAAATAGACACAGGTGGCTCATCGTCCTTGTCATCTATGAGAATACAAAATAGGTAAACAGTATTTGTTATTGCATCCTGTAAGCTAAGCTAGTTTATAACCACTACTTCCATTTCCTAATTGTTAACTTAATTATATTTAAAAAAAAATGTAAATAAATAAAAAACCTCCTTGGAATCTACACATCTTTTTGGTTGCATCAGGGAAAAAATCAAAACAAAACATTGTGTGTAGAGGAGAACTTACCCTGTGAGGCAGCAGTGCACACCTCCTCATCAGACATATCCATGTCTTCCATGTCTCTGTTGTCGTTTTGAAGGTCTGCTTCATCCATAGCCTTGCCATCCAGCTCTGGATCCACCTTGGCCCTGGTGGTTTCCATTTCCAGAAAGGGTGAGTCGGACCCAGTGGGTGAGGGAGCGTCTTCTGAGGGAGAGGGGATGGGAGAGTCCTCTGGCCCAGATAGTGTCGCCTTAAGAGAATCCAGTTTCTTTTTGAGGCCATTTACTCGGTTAGCAAAGGCATTGTACGCCTGGAGAGAAGGTGGAATCCAAAGAGTCGATGTAAAAACAAAAGGCATGTTAACTTCTGTTAAATCAGCTGTCCTATAATTCATAAACACATCTAACACTAATGGTTATTAAATAAAACTTGAAGAATACCATTAATCTCCTTTCTCCAATTGGAATGTTAGTCTTCTATCAGAATGACAAAGTTTATAGCTTTCAAGTATATATTTTTACAGTTAAAACGTATTTTAGATCATTTTAGAAATAAAAAGAACAAATCACCCAGACAACAAAGGGAAGGGGAGACGGCTGTCAAAGCTCAGGCAGAAGCAGCAGCGAATCATTGTGAGAACAGCGGCTAAGACAGGTCCATAACCGATGTAGGTACCAGATCTGCTCGGGTCCTGCGCATGCCAGTGATGTTACGCTACATGATTGGCTGAACATTGCCACATGATGTAAAAAATTGCGATTGCCCAGACAACCATAACAACATCACGCAGCGTCAGTGTGCAGAGTTGAGAGCATCTTTAGTGTTAAAGGAATAGTACACCCAAAACATGATTAGCCTTCATTTTCTACTCACCCCCATGCTGAACAACACTCTGGAGTACTTTTTTGATATCTCAAATGCATCTGGAGATCTGGGAGGCTTCTTGCTGTCTGCTGACATTCAAATAATGGAGGTCTGTGGTGACCGAGACAGAAAGGTCCATAAAAGTCCACAAAAAACGTGTCAATATTCCTCCATACTGCTCGTCCAATGTATTCCAAGTGTCCTGAGTGGGTAGCATCCAGAATTTACTCGAAACGAAGTCATTTAGAATGTTTTTAGAGCATAAACAGTAGTGTATAGGATTTCCTGAAAGCGCGCACCTGCGCGTTCACGACGCTACGGAAGCCAGCAGACCAAACCAGATGAAAGTGCGCATTCAGCGTCTGCTCTGCCGATAATGCAAGCGTAGAAGAAGAAATGTGCTGTTTACCTGTGCAAAGAAAGAAACAACGAAAGAAAAATGTCTGAGGACTTCAGTGTTGAGGAAGAGCATGAGTTCTTTGCCGAGCTGAATGCGCTGGTTTGGTCTGCCGGCTTCCGTAGCGTCGTGAGCGCGCATGTGCACGCTTTCAGGAAGTCCTATACACTACTGTTTATGCTCTAAAAACATTCTAAATGACTTCGTTTCGAGTAAATTCTGGATGCTACCCACTCAGGACACTTGGAATACATTGGACGACCAGTATGGAGGAATATTGACACGTTTTTTGTGGACTTTTATGGACCTTTCTGTCTCGGTCACCACAGACCTCCATTATTTGAATGTCAGCAGACAGCAAGAAGCCTCCCAGATCTCCAGATGCATTTGAGATATCAAAAAAGTACTCCAGGGTGTTGTTCAGCATGGGGGTGAGTAGAAAATGAAGGCTAATCATGTTTTGGGTGTACTATTCCTTTAACGTGTCTAATGACCAATGAAGTTTTAACTGATCGATAACAAAACAAAAAAGTCCTGTTTATGGTGAACAAACTAACTGCAAGACCATGATATAAAGGGGAATAGCTGGGTAGTGCTGTGGCTAGCTGTGTTCAGTAGCTAACAGGTTAGCCTCTTTAAGCTTATCCTTAGCAATTGTAACCTACGCTACTTCTAAATTTGTGTCAACAACAACCGTCCATTTTCTACAAGTAGAATAATTGTTATATTTGTCTAAAACCTTTACCAAAAGCCATTTTCTAAGATGTCCCATTTGTCCTTCCCTGCCCTCAGATCTTAATAAAAAGAGTAAAAATTAGCTTAGCCTTTTTTGTCACCTTGTTAAATGACAGAGCTCAGTCTTAGAACGCAGTACTTTCCTTCAAGACTGACAATGATTGTTTTCTTCTTTAGATCGCCAATGAAATGTAAAACAATAGCAAATAAAGGTAATAATATGTTGAGAATTCAAAAGAGATTTGATCTTTAAGAAACGGGTGCAATACAGTTTGAGTGGAGTTGCCATGTGTTGACATTATAAAAAGGGGCAGGGACCTGAGCAGATCTGATGGCCCGAGCAGATCTGGTACCTACACTGGCAGCCAGCTACGCTCCCCTCTGGAACTAAGGAACCACAGCGGTAGATCACAGAGCCCACTGGGCAGAGAGTGCACCGGGGCGGGGAGATAAGGCAGCTTGAGCGGAAGCTCTGATTAGTGCGCCGGGGAAACAGCGCCAGGGCGGGGAGAGGCTACAACTGATCAAGGCTAGCTAGGCTAACTGCTGGATGGTCCAAGGAACAATAAAATATCTAATAAGTCTAATGAGAACACAGAACACGGAGGGTGGGGGAGAGGCTACCGCTAGACAGGAGTGGGACAGCAGTACTTTGGAGACGCCCACCAGGGAGAACGAGCAGGGACAGGCTGAGGCAGTTTCTCAATTCACAAGAACGCGAGTACGTACTCGAGTTCTCATCAAGTCTGGTCTTGGCAAGAACACAGAAAAGTCTGGACTTGGTGAGAACGCAGCATAGAAATGGGTCAATTGGAACAGAAGCGTACTCGTGACGTTACCACACGCTCAGCCCGTCTAGAGCTGCATTTCACCTCCTGTTATTAATAGTCTCTGGATAATAATAAATTATTACTTTTTACATTTAGTGAGGAAATAATAATAAACACAGTCAGATAAACATTAATCAAATGAACGTTTTGCCAAAAAATTAAAAATAAAAAATCGCTATCAGAGCCAGCGGTCCTTCACACACGGCTATGCCGAGAGAGAGCTGCTATAGACGGGCTGCGGTTAGCCCCGGCTGCTGTTAGCTTTGAAGCTCCGCTGGTTGCCGCGGTCCTCTCAGCTTTGGAAATCTTTTTTTAATTATGCATTAAATCGGTAAATGGACCATATAGTGACGCTTTAAAGTTTTATATTCTCGCCTCAAATGATCTTAAAACGTACTTGTATTGAACAACAGCAACACAAAAGAGAACTTTTAACTTTCAATGGAGCGCTGCATTGAAAGCTGCTGCTGTCGCAGTGCATGATGGGACAGCTTTCAATCTCAAGAACAGACAAGTCTGCTTTGATGCATACTCGATTCGACTTCAGAAATAATAGCACCATGTATGATCTGAGCCACTGTGTATTTTTATTCTCCAAAACCTGGGTCATCTGTTTTGTGTTTTTTTTTCCTTTCTTATTTGATTTCTTTTCAGCTGCTTGGATTTCTTCAGGAGACATTTTGCTTGCATTTGCCTCATTTCTAGTTTTCAAACTGTTCAATGATAAGTAAAAAAAAAAAAAAAAAAAACTTACATTAGCGACAATCTTAACCTCCTTGTACTGCATTTCATAGAAGATATCTGCATTTCCGAGAGCTTCCAGCAGAGGAGGTCCCGTTTTTAGCTCTTTTTCCAGGAAGCTGACAAAGTCCTGCAGTTTCAGACATCCATCTTCAAAGTCTTTGGCAAATTTATTTCCTCCTGCTTTGTCTAGTTAAAGTAAAAAAAAAAAAAAAAAAGAGAGATTGAAAATTGCCACACAGTATCAAACAAACCTAGAAAAATAAAATAATGCTATATTGATTATTATTTTTTGATGAGGCAATAACATTTTAAAAACCCTCAAAGATTTTCTTATCTGGTTAGGCTAAATTGCTATGGGGAAACTTTCACTGTAAACAGAACATTTTTCTTCATATACAGAAAAAACAGCTATTATGTAGTAGGAAATGTTCTAACTCTACATGGCTAGCAATTACTTTTGGTGACCAAATGCTCTACTGAATAATCTCTTAACTAAAATCAGGTAATCTGTGATTCATGCATTACTGTCAGGGTTCCTACACATTTATAATTACAAAACACAACTTCCTAACTTTAATTTCTAGCTTGTTCATTTTTGCAACATTCTGGATATTCAAAAACAAATGATTATCCTCTAACGTACATGAAAAACAGTTTCACAAACAGTACAATTATAAAGTGGCTTTGGATTTTTTGAGCAAGCTACAGAGATGTTATATGGCTTTGGTTGCCTCTAACTTCTATCAGCTCAATTTAAAAATACAATTTAAAGTTCTCTAAAATAGTCCAAATAACATTTCTCGTAATTTCAAGATTATTCTAATGAGAAAATAAGATTTAAACTTTCCTTAAGAAACCTGCTAAAGCTTCCAAGACAGGCATTTGTTATTACAGTGTCCACTTAATTTTTACTTAATTTAACCTCTAAGATATTTTTTAAAATTAATTTGATCTTTTTCCCACTGGGATGGTGAATGTAAGTATCTGTATTTTCATGTACTTTACTTAACTGTAAAGCCATTTGTGACCATCTTCTGTGAAAGTTGCTATATAAATAAACTTGATTACTTACTTAGTCATAGAGCACTTTAATTATTGGATGAAGCCATTTTTAGATCACAGTACATGCCAAAATCTTTCTATCTTGCAGTCTCTCACCATCCTTTAACTGGCAGTTTATGATTTTTTTGCACCTATATATTAATCATTTCATGCATGAAGAAGCAACACAACTAGGAAATAAAGAAAAGCGTACAAAAAGTGAGTTGCTACAGCCGCAAAGCAGCAAATAGATTTGATACTTTGGCCTAAAATTAAGCATAGTGGAAAAGTTGTGACTAACACAACCACAAAGTTACAAGTTTCTGTTAAGCCTACCAATCATCTTGTAAAGAATTTACACTGTGTTTACGATCCAGTCAAATTTAGTTTATACAGGGTTTTTTTCCCCTCTTTCAAATTTTGTTTTTCCATTAAAAATAAAGATAAATAAACAGAAGTAAGACCAGAGTGAAAACCTTTAACCAAAGGATGTATTGTTTATTTATCAAAGAATCTCCCAAATGTTTAGTTGATGCATATAATAAGATCAATACTTAAATCTCTTCCACTTACCACTATTGGAAATAGTATTGAAATCTAAAATAAATTATGATAAAGTTTCTAGATGAAACTAAAAAAAGAAAAAATAGAATTTTGATGAAAAGGAAATAATCTATAAATCAACCGACCTTTAAGTCTTTTGAAGGCCTCTGTGCTGCAGACGTCCACCCTGAGAGTTTCCAGCTGTTTCTCTCTGATCTGCTCCTCAGCAGCAGCTTGCCTGTATCTGGACAGCTGCTCAATAAGGGAGTGAGGCTAGGAAATAGCAAGTGCAACAGAATAAAGATGAAACACATACCCTAGTCCATTTTGTATCAGTTAAATGTCATTAGTGGTACTTCCACCAACAGGAATAAAAGGGGGCTTACTGTAAACTCTGCAACAATCTTGGACTTCAGTGCAGCTTTAGTGCTTGGAGCTTTATTGCTGACTGCTTTTAAACTGGCTGTAGCTAAAGATCAGACACAAAATTACATACATATATACATTTCTAATCCACAATGAGGGTAGAGCTTTTTAAAAATATTTATATGTGTCAATATTCAAGCAACAATTTTATAAAAAAAAAAAAAAAAAAAAAGATAAACAATAAGGAAAAAAATCTATTGTATTAAACATAACTTTCAGCATCAATTAAGTGTAGTCTATATAAACTGTGATGTAAACTAGCCTGGATGGACGGTTCCATTATTTAAACACAAAGATCTTACTTGTCATTTAATACTCTCATTGTCAAGTATACTGGACGGTTTTCTGCATCCATACACATATTATACATATACATCCTATACAGTTATAGCTAACATGTTCAGCAAAGGAAACATTGCTTTAACTCAAATTACAATTAATTTCAACACTTGTTTAAAATCCTTAAGCTTTTCTTGGTAGTAAAAACCAGATCACACCCAATTTTACCCTTATAGTGATAATGAAATAAATAATTGGTCATTATGTACACCAAATTTCTTTCTCTTAAAATTCTAAAGGAACAACATTATGCATTAATTTGAAAGCTTTCAAATAGACTTACATAAGCTACATATTTGAATATTTATGTAGATTTTGTTCATCTTAATGACACCTTTTCCTTTAGCTCCAGATTTACTTGTCAAGTGCCATCCACCCACACACACACGCAAAGATATATATATATATATATATATATATATATATACACATATATATATATATACATATATATATATACATATATATATATATATATATATATATATATATATATATATATATATATACATATATATATATATATATATATATATATATATATACATATACATACACACACACAGACACATACATATACATATATATGTATATATATACACAAACATACACAGTGCCTAGGTTTACTAATGGTTCCTAGAATATTTAACAGTAACAAGGGAGGCAGATCTTTTAGTTATCAGGCTCCTCTCATGTGGAACCAACTACCAGTTTTAGTCCATGCGGCAGACACACCCTGTCTACGTTTACGGCTAGGCTTAAAAACTAACTTTTTGGTAAAGCTTATAGTTAGAAGGGATCAGGTTATCTTGAGCCATCTCTATATTTATGCTGCTATAGGCACAGGCTGCTGGAAGATATAGTGACCACATTTTATCAGTCTATCTTGTATTATCTCCGAGCTTTATGTTCTCTCTGCTGTTTCTGTTCATAGTAGCTTAATCTAGGCTGGTGTTCTGTTTAGCTGTGACACCATCCTGGAGAGAGACATGACTGTTTCTTTCCTAGACAGAGACAGCTAGCTTACAGTTACCTTTTCTAAAACAGAAAAACATGGATCAGTGATTCCATGTCTTCTGAAACCCAAATAAGCATCAGCAGAGGGTTGCTTAAACAGATCTGGTTCGGCTACAAGTTTCTTCCTATTACAGAGCAGGTTTTCTTTCCGACTGTCGCTGTATGCATGGTTGGTGTGAGGGACTGCTGAGGAGTCAATTACACAATACAAGCCAATATCTACCATCATCACATGCTTATCTAGGAATAGCAAATCCTGCAAAGTCAATGACTCGATACAACCAGCAGGCTTTATAGATAGAACATTTGAACCAATTGGACTTTATCACTCAATTGAATTGTCTCTTTAAAGTTCATTGCGATGATTTCTTGGTGCAAAACAAATAAACTGAATCAAATTCAATTGAATTAAGTATTAGGCATGATGGAATATAATTATCAGAAAAGAATTAAATGGGAGATAAAGAAACCAGATTATAGTTTAGTCAACTGGGGATTAATTATTATCTTTCAAGCACCACTTAAAACAGTCTGGATATGGTCAACTTAAAAAATTCAAATGAAAAAGCTGAGATACTGACCGTTTCCTGGTGGTGTCTCCTTTTCTTTTTGCTCTTCTTTTTCTTTTTCCTTTTCCTTTTGCTTCTCTCGCTCTTTTTCTTTTTTGTGCAAGCCGGCTTTGAACTGGGAAATCACCTCCTCCGGATACACATTCCTCTCCTCCCAGATGGTAAAAATCCTTTCAACCGATTTGCGGACTTTTCCATCTCTACCAAAGGAAAACACAGAAATCTCAGCAAACAGAAATACATTTATTTTTCATAGCTTACCTGCAAAAACCACACAAACATTTAGATGCAACAAAGAGCTGAAAAAATATGAGTACTCACTTAATGAGGAGGGCAGCATTTGGAAGGACATCGGAGAAAGCCGAGCGGAACACAATGGCGTTTTTTCTTTTGCAGTTCTGGATCACATCGTTGGCAAGGTAGAAAAGATTCAAGCGATGATTGTGGTCGGCTACAAACGAAAAAATTAAGAGAGGTTAAAGGAGGAGGGGGTCAAAAATGTTGATTTTCGCTTGCTTGGTTCGATCCAAAAGCTGATTTTATTTATTTATTGTTTACCAATTTAAGTATGGTTTACATTTAAATTGTAAATATCATAAGCATACTGTAGCTTACTACTAAGCTAGCCATGTGATCATCGCTCTCGCTGGATAGAAGTGACAAAGACAGAACAGAGCATGGAAACAGATATTAAAATACTATAAAAATCCTCCATGCAGCACTAACGTTTTTCAAATTTGCTCTGTTATAAACAGCTACAATGTTATTGTGTCAAGAGCAGCTTTTTCAATATAATTATGGAAGATATATATAATTATTATTTTAATTAGTCAATTAATTATCAGATAAAAAAGATGCCTTAGTGAAACTAAATGCTGAATTTAAGCCAGGTGAATCAAACACTGTTAAGGTGTTTTGCGTAGAACATATTCACAGACAAAATAAAAAGCTATTTCCCCATCTGAAATGACAAAGGTTTTAATCTTCGTTACAATTTTGGCTAAATACTGCTCTGAGTGGGTTTGTTCTTCAGCTATTGCCATGTGTTAGAGTCTGTATAGAAAAACAAAAATGATTTCTAAATAAGTTGACCTTTATTTCAATAATTGATTAATCACGAATAATCCAAATAACTGTTTTAGCCCTAAGGTGCTACTTTTCAGGAAATCCTGCCTCTTGAGACGGTATCTTAACTTTTGGTTGTGGTTTATAACAGTAAGGTAAAGCAGGGAAAGTCTATTTATATTAGGGCTGCACTATGATTATGAAAACCTTTCCACTAGTGGAGTTCTGGATACAGCATATTGAAGAAAATATAAATTTTTATGATTTTGGTATAATTACTTCTCCATCAGCTGAAGGCATGTTTTAGGGTCTCTTTACTCCAGTTACTGATGAATAGATTAATAAATTAGTTAACAATATTTTAAATATCAATCATGATTAATCCAATTAATATTTTCAGTCTTAATTTATGTAGCACATTTCAGTGGCAAAACAATTAAAAATATTTATCATGGGAATAAGAAAAGTAAGGTGTGTCCAAGTTATTGGCTGCATCCTCCAAAGGTCACATTTTTGGAATGATCACAGCGCAGGGCAAAAGGCATTATCCGCAAAACCTTCAATGTAGCCGATGAATGTGTCACTGGGCCAATATGAAGGATCCATCAGGAGTTCCCTTCATAGCATCATTTAACTTAATCCAGTGCAGGTCAGAGCAGGTTGGTCAAACTCGGGCAGCAGTGGCAAAACTGTAAATACTAAATAATACACTTTCTAGAACCCAAAATAAACCTTTAGGATTTTTGGACACAAGCTTTTAGATTAGTAAAAATATCTACTCTGATTAATAAGTTCATACTTAATTTATAAAAGGAGTTGTTGGCTGTGACCCAACCAGGAGGTCTTCTGGGTAATGCTTTGAACCTACTCCTGGGTTAGACCTCTGGGTGGAGGCTGAACATATAACCGATTTACATGATATCGATATGCTCATGTTTGGCTCATTAAAAACTTTTATGTTGTTTAATGAATTGGTGCTGAAATTAAAGTTAAGCTTAAGGATGAGATCATTTTATTCAACTCTGGAGGAGGTATGAGATTAATAATTACTGTAGCTCATCTTAACATGCATGCAGAAACACTACATCTGCTACAGTTCGGAAAATAATTAAATAATCTAAACAAGTTGTTGAGAATCATCTGAAATGATTCATTTTATTTTCGATACATTGTGTTAAAAATATTTATAAATCTGGTTGTACTCAAACACCTTCTATACAAATTATTTAAAAATTCCCCTAGGCTGATATATTTCAAGAGAAACAGCTTTTTTCTTTAGTTCTTGGAAAATTATCAGAACACAAAATGGTGAAATCATGTCCTGTTTGTTGACCTCCCTGATTAACAAAAATAAACATCCCTCATTAGGGCTAAAACAATTAATCGGATTAATCACGATTAACAAATTATTGGAATAACAATAAACTCATTTATTAAGATATCATTATTTATCTGGAGAATAGAGACTATTGCTATTAGCTGAAAAAGCCACCCACTCAGAGTAATCATACCAATATTGAAAAAAACTAAAAAAGTATCAACGTTCTGCATTCAAGATGAACCATTGTAGTCCGTCAGACCACTATTAGCTAGAACTGGTTTAAATTCTGTATGAAGCCTTCTTTCAGAAGCCTTTTGCCATTAGAGAATCATTTGATTAATAAAACAAAACAAAAAAAATCACAAAAATATTGATTAGTAGCAGCGCTACCCTTTCATCTAAATAATGTATGAAAGTTTATACATTCATATTAAAAACAGATCATGTTTAGACTGCGTAGGTCTGTGCCTCATGTCACAGTTGCTAGACAGCTTCCAGCCTTTATTGGTTTTGAGGTTACATTGAGGATGTTGCCCCTTAATTAGGAGACACACGTAGATTAAATTGGGATAGAGGAAACATGAATCATTAAAGAGAATATAAGTGATACAATAGGTGGAATATACATTTTTGTAAAAATATAAAATGACTGATGTTTAAAATTTTTTTTTTAAATAATTAAGAAAATGGAACAAAAGTTAGACTAGGAACTTAATATCATGTAGATAGCAGTCAAAGGCCATTCTAAACAAATAAGGTTTTGTTCTTGATTTAAATAAACTGAGGTTTCCTACACTTTTATAGCTTTCATGGAGTTTATACCAGGGTGGTGGATAACCTGATAATGAGTCTATAATGTATTGTGGAGATTAGTCTGAAGAAGCCTACACAGGCTAATCATTGCTCTGTAATAGTTTTATCTGACTACATATGAGCAGCCATCTCTGTCAATAATATGTCATCAAGATGCAAAGTGATTTTGTCTGTATTCAACTAAAAACTTGCCTAGCTAGCCTAACTTTCCTCAATATAGAAACTAAAACAAAGGTTAGCTTAGCTGATATGAGGTTTCAAGTTTAACAATCACAAATTTTGAAGCATACAGCTACTGCTGCCAAGACACATTCGGTGTTTAAGTGTTTAACCAAGTTACTTAATGATTTCACTGAACAGAGGCTTAACTCTTTAAAAGAGCAGCAATTAATCTGAGCATGCTTTGCCAACATTACAAGCCAAACGTAGAAAGAAAACTGCACTTTCTCAAAAGGTGGGATTTCCTTTAATCCTGCATGTATGTGTTTCACTTATTCTGGTCTCATGGTTCTGAATTTGCACGTTGAAATTATGTTTAGAGCGGCTAATGTTAATCTGTTTAAGATAAAACTGCTTGTATGAGCATTGTGTGTGTGTGCAGTAATGGCAGATTCCCGAATTCACACAAGTAATTGTTTTGTTACATTAGGAGGGTTAAGCTATATATAATTTAATAGCCCTGTATTAAAAAAAGAAAATATGTTTTTATTGTAGCTCTATTTTTTCCTTTGCATTTCCTCTGACCCTGAACTCTGACCCTTTACTACTCCTGGCCAGCTCAAAATTTAAAGTTAACTTTTTAAACATTTTCTTTCTAAATAATTTACAAACCACCAAAATTTAACAAAAAAAATAAATAAATAAAATCCAGTTTTAGATATTTACATAGTGCTACATAATTTTGTTGGGTGGGGGCTGACAGAACAAATAGAGCCATCAGGAACTGGACAGCAGCAGATAAAGCCCTAATTGACTGTCCCTATATGTTGAACAAGATGAAAGAAGAAACATTTTACTACATCTTTTCAGTTTTTTTTTATTAGTATATATTTTATTTCATAATCAAATATTTTACAACAGAGTCTGTTCTCTGAGCATTAGAGACTTTAATGATATCTCCGTTATTCATGTTTTGTTATCCTACGTTACATCTTAAAATATAACAGAAAGCTCCCCTCTGGACCATTCATCCACCAAAACCTAAAATCTAACTTTTTATTTATTCAAAACTAATTATAGATACAATGTTTTCTATATTTAAATTTTATTTAAACTGTATACTTGGCAAATGCATTTAGTTTTTATATGATTACATGTCACCCTCTGCAGCATTACTATAACATAAATGATAAAGAACATCATAAACTCAGGGCTGGATGAGGAATACGGACAAATATGAGTATAAACAAATAAATTAATAAAGAATGAGGTCAGCATCATATTTAGGTATAGCTAAGGTTTGATGAAATTGCAAAAACCTATATCACGATATAGTTCTCATCTTTGGTCAAAACAATATAATTTCGAAATCAACATAAGGGAGGGAGAAATGACCTTGACGTACATCTGCAGACAAACATCAAAGCTTTAGACACTTCTTTGCTTCTCAAAGCAGTATAATCAATTATTGAAATAATTGTGAAATGTTGTTAACATTTAACTTAATAAGTGTATACAAACATTAGCTGACACCTAAGAGCTGTAGTCAAGCCAAAATCATACACCTTTTAAAATCTAAATTATACATATTACATTTAGATTTAAAATAATAAAAACCCTTTTGTCCGCGAATATGATTCCCCCAGAACTCCTCAAGTGGCAAAGTTTGAGCTATAACTGGTTTAAATTACAAATAAAATATTCCTTAAGGCATGTTTTTCTGCCCATTATTAATTAAAAATAAATAAAGCAGATCAATTGATTAGTAAAATAATTGTTAGTTGCAGCTGAATCTACAGTGTATATTTTAGATCAGGGGTGCTCAAATCCAGTCCAAGAGCTACCATCCTGTAACTTCTCTAATTTACCTGAATCTAAAGGCTCAATCCTCTCATTTGGCTCAGCAGAGTCATGGTAACGAGCAGCTCATTTTATTCTGGCGTGTTAAAAATGGGGTATATCAAAAAGTTGTAGGATAGTAGCTCTTGAGAACCCCTGTTTTAAGGGGTTAAATATGATAATGAATTACACTTGCGAGAACCCTGATCTTATAGCATACAATCTGCAATGCCAAACGGGTCAAACCAAAAGAA